GGTATCAGTTCTTGCATATTTCTGTCAAGGTCATGTTCCTGACTCTTGCTACCTAGCTGTGAGACCTGTAAGATCTGAGTCTTCTTTCTTTGCATGGTTTATTCAGAGCTTTGACTAATGGCAACTGCACTGGTTGTGCCTGCTGCTGAAAGTACCTTACAGCCCAGAGTTTAGGACATCAATCACTGACCTGGTGTCTTCTAGGTGTGCTAGACTTTCCCCCCTATAATGACCAGCCAGTTTGGCCAACTGCTGGAAAGATGTAGGAGATGATGTCCAGATTATATGGAGGGCACTAGGTCGGCAAAAGCTGGTTTACAGATTGCAGTTATGGACAAGATTTAATCTTGGATAAAATGTATTTTTCGACTGCTATCTGGATCACTGGATTGTTTAATTTTATACAGCTGCCATAATTCTTGTAACGTCATTTTAAATTGTGTTTTATACATTATCTTCAAGTGTACTTTATTAACTAAACTCCTATGAATCACTCTGTGATTTCACCATTGAAAACTGGAATACAAATAAATTGTTAGTGATGATAACATCTCTTTTTGCCATGAAACTGCACAGCAGGAATCAGAGCATATTTCTGTGACTTCCTTTTTGTGACACTTCTCCTTTTATAATTCTGTCCTACTTGTCCATATCTGCCAATGCTTCAGGTGAGGAAGTGGCTGTATATACAAATCAAGAAAAGAAAAATGAATTGTGATGCAAAACTGTCTTGAAGATCATGTTATTCTTTCATATTAAAATAAATGGGAGTATCCAGAATAATTCTAAATAGCAAGTAAACCCCTTTGCAGCTTATGAGAGGGTCAGTCTGGTGTTATGGTTAAGGTGATGGCCTAGAAACCAGGACACTGAGTTCTAAGTCTCCCTTAGGGGTGAAAGCCAGCTGGCTAACTTTGGGCCAGTCACTTTCTCTCAGTACAACCCACCTCACAGGGTTGTTGTTATGGGGAAAATAGGAAGGAAGAATATTATGTATGTTCGCCACCTTGAGTTATATATATGAAAAAGGCAGAATAATAATAGTAGTAGTAGTAGTAGTAGTAGTAGTAGTAATTGATATGGCTTTTTAGCATGCCCAAGCCTGAAGCCTAGGGACAGTTAAAAATACATAACACATATACTCACAGCCAGGAAAAAAGGAAACATTCATCTTTGCTCAATCTAGGGACTTAATGTTAGCAATCAAAACAAATATCATATAACACCAACAGCTACATTGTGTTATTCTAAAGCCTATCCTATATCTGATGGTATATGTTCCAAGTGAAATAGCATTCACAAGGGAAATGGTCCAGCCAGCTTTTTCCATAACATGGACATCTGGAGAACCTCCGCATTACTCTCTTCTTTATACCAATGAGTAAGTCTATCACTCTTGACCCTACGATATTATGCACATCAACTGCTCTTTTATTATGCCTTCCACTCATTTCAATTTTATCTTTTCCTCCTCTCCTTCTTCTGCCTCTCTATTTTATTCCAGTATTTGCTCTCTGCTCTTGCTGACAGGTCACTGTAATTAACTTCAACCTCATGACCACTTTCAAAATTTTCTCTCATGCTGAAATGCTGTCCATCTCCTTTCCCTAATCAAAACAGGTGCTATAATATCATTCCACCTGTGGCATACACACATGGCCAAATATATATGATGGGAACTTCCAAAACACTAACAATAAACGATACAGAAGCCAATTTTTTTCAGTAATTGGCCAGTACAATACCTGAAATGAGTTAGCATGAGAATTCATGATCGTTGATCACTGGCAATAATTTGTCTTCATGGTAAAGACTTTCCTAAAAACTCCCATGATCAAAGCTGGTGACAGCTTTGGGTCATTAACAAGGGTAACTCGGGCAATATCGCTCAGATCCTATCCCCTGATATCTCTGATCACCACCTCCTCTTCACTTCTGGCCAGACATTTCTGTAAGGAGGCAGCAACAGCATTATCGGCTAGAAGAAAGGTAAATTGGTGCTTGATGCCAATTGGAGTTTGGCAACCACCACTTTCAAGTCATAGGAGGCAATGCCTCACCTTGAATATTATGTTGAGGGCAGAAAAACTGGCAAGTGGTTGGTTCCTTTTGTTTATGCTGTCATAGCAGTAACCTCCTTTCAAAAGGAATGTAAAATTGGTTGGATTGTGGCTGCGTGAATTAGACCACTACATGATATTGACACAGACATCTGACAATGGGTTTGTTTTGAATTTTGCAAGTTTTTTAACCAAGCTATCTTAAAGTGGCTCATAGGTGATCATCCTTGGATTCAGGGAATGAATGTCATCCAAACAAAAACTAAACCAGCTCTCTGTTGTTGACGACTTAAAACTGTGAATGTATCCACACAAGTTGGAAGGTGTTGTTCTGATTCTGTACTGGTTAAGGTTACTGCTCTGATACCTTGCCAGAATTACCCGGTAAGTTTTAACATATAGATCACTAGAGACTACAGGTATAAGATATTTACCTGTCATTTCCATCACTAGGATGATCTTGCTAAACTACTGTTTTTCAAGTTGTTGTCCTATGAAATGTCTTTCCATTTAATTTCCTTTTGAATCTTGGTATATAATCTCTGTTTAATTGGGTCTAAAAGAAAATTCTTATTGTTATGTAGCTGCTTCTGAACAAGTGCCATCATTTTTTAGCTATCACTATCATACAAAGATCCTAAGTTTGTAAAGATACTTGATTTTGTGATACATACCAAATCTTTGTTTCTACTAGAAGTGTATTAAGATTCTTTCCTGCCAGCATAATAGAAATCCTTTCAGGTAGCTCATAATCATGACCCATCTACTCATAACTCAGGTCAGTTTGCACAGCCCATTGCTATCAGCTTACATGAAACTTTATGATCATTTTATACATGGATATATATGGTCTCTCTTAGACTAACCTGGCCTGGATAACTTTCCCAAATGTATCAATTGGCAGTTTGTTTAATAATTACTCCTAAACCAAGACCAGGTTTTCTGAAACTGAAAGGATTCCAAAACTAAGTTGTCAGAGACAAACAAGCCACAGTTCCCAATTATTCTTATTCTAGCCTAACAAACCATGGAAAAGGTTTCCACAAATGATTTAGCAAGCTCCTATTGGTGGGAGGAGCTAACCAAGAGAGAGAAAACACATTTCACAACATGTCAAATTTCTTCAGAATTTTTGCTTAGCGTGACATGCAAATATACTCTTCGACAGTCTTGTTTCCTGTTGCTAACTCACAATGTGAGCTAATTAACAAACCAAACATGACTTCACCCAAGTTAGGATGTTGATAAGTAACAAACTGGCATCATAAATGAGTAAAATTTTCTAATACAACAAGGATGCTGATGGTTTCTGTGATTTCAAAACACAGGATCTGATATCATACAGGTACAAATATGAAAAATAAATGTTACCTCTCCTACTTATTGTGTAGATATACAGTGGATCAATAATATAATTGGACTATTTTTTTAAAAAGCTGTTATAGCTACTCAGTAAATCTTAAATTTGCCAGTCTGCTCAAAACAGCAAAATACAAACAGCAGCTTTAATCAAAATGTCAGTTGAAATACAGTGAAAATAAACAGCAAAACATGTCAGCAGTGGTTTTCCAAAAATTACAAAAACGAATTAAAAAAAAAACAAGTTGTTGTATTTTCTAGAAATTCATGAGAGTGTCACCAAGAACTTTCTTCATCATTTTAAAATAACGTCTTTACTCAGAGAAAGATTGTACAACTTTTGGTTGACACAATGACATATGTAAATTCATAGCCCAGAAGAGAATAGGAGGAAATGTGGTTTGCGGTTTATCTTAGTTTTAACTTCCCAAAACAAACCATCTATACTGTATTCTAGTTCCAGTTCTTCTGCCACATAGGTGATGCATCTCTGACTGCAGTGATTTCCCCTCATTTATAACAGAACCTTCTAACCTTTATTTTCACAAGACCTAAGGTGGTGATAGTCTAACCATTTTTGGAAACATGGTGTAAAGGAATTGTCTGGCATAGTGGTTAGCGGCACTAGAATGAAGAGATCAGGAAAAGATTTTTGTGAGTCACAGTGAACAGCTCACTGAAAACATTAATACATTGTGTGGTGAAAGAAACTGAGAAACAGAAATAATTAAGGAACAGGTAAAAAATAAAACTCTCAATATAGTAGTGTCCTGATACCAAACCCTGATATGACAGCACTTGGAATCCATACAGTTCTAGTTACTGAACTGGAAAAGAGATTGTAGAGCTGGAAAATATGCAGAAAAGAATAACCAAAATATTTAGCGGACTACAACAATTTCCAGAGGCAGGGGCATCCCCAAAGATGGTAGTTGCAATTGCATCCTGACTTTCTTTACCACTCCCAGTAGACACCCCTGCCCTGGAGTGGGACTGGGGAAACAGCATTTGAAGCTTGAAACTTGAAGTGGAGGATGACAAGTGGCAACATGACAGAGATGTACAAAAGCAAGCATGGCATGGAAAATGTGGAGATATGTTAGTACTCAAAATCATCCCAAAGAACTAATGATGTTTCAGGTTCAATAGATGAAGTATATCACAATGGATAATTAAAATGTAGAGTTCACTGCCCTCAAAATTTGATGACAGCCATCAATTTCAATAGTTTTTTGAAAGGTATTAGACAATTTAATGGAGAGGCTATGTGTGATTACTGTTGTTGATTGCTGGACACCACCTCCAGCATCACAGCAGCAAACCATAAATACAAGCTGCTGGAAAGTTATGGAGAAAGAGGCCCTCACATTTTGAGCTCTTCGGAGCCATCTAGTTGGCCACAGACTGACATAGAGAACCAGCTTTGGTATCTTTCACAAGAGGATTATTGTGTGGAATAAAGAGGGAGGGAAACCACTCATGGCTTCAGTTCTTTGGGGTGGGGTGGAGGGGTGGGAGGAAGGAAGAAAAGATGTAAACTTAATGAATAAACGGTAAATGAATGAAAACATAAATAGGTACCTGATAAAATTCCCGAAGCCAATTCTTCTGTAGGTTTTCTGGCTGGAAAATAAATAATTAAAGTGAGTAAATAATTAAAGTATGTGAGTACCAATAAACATTAAAATGAGTAATAAATAATTAAAGTGAGTATATATGACTGCTTCTTAAACTTTTTAAGTAAACCAAAAGACCCAGTAGCCCAAAAAGAAAGTACAGGAATTATCTACAACATATAGTATAAGGATTGTAACAGCCACTATATAGGATAGACAGCCAGAAGACTAGCAGAGTGCATTCATGAACACCAACTAGCAGTCAGAAGACACAATGAAAATGATCTTAATCTTACATGGACAGACTCAACCATAGTTTCAGCTGGGAAACTGTGAGCATCCTAGACCAAGCTAA